AAACTTCCATTTTTTTCGGAAAATGCCAAAAATATGGCATATTTCTCTTTGAGAATGCCAACATTTTTTTTCTTCCATCTTAAATCATTCTGAATTATGCCAAAAATATGGAATTCATAATAAATTTGGCATTTTTTCCCCAAATGACTAGAGGTGGTGGTGCTGGGGCGGTATAGGCGGCGGTGACAAAAAAAATATTTTTTTGATTTTTTTTTTAATTTTTTTTAATTTTTTTTTTTTATTTTTTTTGAATTTTTTTTTTAAAATTTATTATTATTCAAAATATTTTTATTAATTTTTTGGTATATTTTACGAATTTTTATTATTTTTTATTATTTTATTATGAATTAAAACATTCCAATAGGTATAAGGGTATATTTGTCCAAGACAAACATAATTAGTCCTATGGAAACATAGTTTATTTTTTGGTCCTATTTGTGCAAAGTGAATGACTTTTAGTCCTATTTTGATAATTAACTCATTAATGTTTTGAAATATATATTATTTCAAGAGGCCATTACGACAGGGAACACGTAATATATTTTATTTGACCCGATAAAATAAAATATACTTAAAACAGTCCGAAAAATACAACTTTCGGGGCCGAATGTACATCTTGGGACACAAAGGGATGACCTCCCACATGAGTGGGGGCCACCCCACGTTTTTTGTGTGCTCAACATGACCTATGGGGGCTGGAATGACAAAATATTATGTGAAGGAGGATCATTTGGCATCTAAAGTACCAAGGAGGACCCCTCACCCTCTCTTATTTGTCATTTGAGACAAAAGTGAGTGTCCTCTCTCCCACCTATCATCAACCTCGACCAACCTCATCAAGAAAGGATAAGGAAGCTCTCAAACCATCCTCCATACCTGCAAAATTCGAGCTCAAGCATAAGTGCTCAAAGAAGGAAGATTAAAGAGGGAAAAAGTTGGGAAAAGTGTGAATAATTAAGGTAATGACCTTATTATAACTTCTCCTTTATTTTTCTTCTACCATATGAGGTATATATCATGTGGAGGACCCTTAGTATGGTTCCACATGTTATAAGTATGGATTTATGGGTAGGAAGATGGTTCTATGTCCAAGAATGGACTTAGAGACCAAAACTACCGGTTCACCGGAAAATAACCTTTTAGAGGTTATTTGTATTAATATGAGTTTTATGATTATAAAACCTTGCTAGGCACTTGTAAAGGGTATTTCAAGTGATTTCACAAAGTTGGAAAAGTCGCCGGAGTTGTCGCCGGAGTTGACCAAAAGTCGCCGGAGTCTCACCGGAGTTCAACCAAGAAGGGTAGAACTTCTTAACGCTAGTTCAAGGTGAGTGGACGGCTTAATATCTTATAACTTTTGGGTTAATTATGAGATTACCTAAATAAATGTTATATGAGTTCATAATGATGTTTAAAAGATATTTAAACATGTGATTAGCCAATAGAGTTAAGTTTGTATGAAAGAAATTAATTGTTGATGCATGGAATATGATATGAAGAATTATATGAAATGCATATTTGTTTGAAGTGTATTAGAAGCACAAATGAATATCATTAACTTAATTATATGATGATTAAGTTGATACACACAAGACATGAAATGGCGGTCAACGAAAACGTTGACCGATGGACAAAGGATTTAATTAATACCGGTTGGTATTAATTAATTATAAATCTATATAAATGCATGGCTTTGCATGGATTGTGATACATAAGTTTTATGTATTGAATTAGTTATGAGTAACTAAGTATGATATAGACTCTATCTAGGTTGATAGGAGGTTGATCATAGGGAAATATTTTGGTGGAGGACCCTAGTACTTAAAAGTACTTAACACTCAAAACTTGGTGGAGGACCCTAGTAGTTAAAAGTACTTAACACTCAAACTTGGTGGAGGACCCTAGGACTTTAAGTCCTTAACACTCAAACTTGGTGGAGGACCCTAGTACTTAAAAGTACTTAACACTCAAAACTTGGTGGAGGACCCTAGTACCTAAAAGTACTTAACACTCAAAACTTGGTGGAGGACCCTAGGACTTAAAGTCCTTAACACTCAAACTTGGTGGAGGACCCTAGTACTTAAAAGTACTTAACACTCAAAACTTGGTGGAGGACCCTAGGACTTATGAGTCCTTAACACTCACAAACCGGTGGAGTATCCAAGGATTATGATCCTAAAACTCATAGATTATGATATACAAATAGGGACAAGGAGGAGTCCTATACACTCATAGGTATATGGGTGGGTTGGGGTTTTTAGTCAAGAATATTGACTATTACTATTTTTCCCAAATAAAATGGTGATCTACGGATCGGATATTTTCCAAGTATATATATACTAATAAGTATTTCATAACTTGGGGGAAAGACTATTTATTTAAGTATCACCCTATGTTTGGGTCTTATACTTGAAACGCTAGTTATTCTATATTTAGCCTGCTACTCGCTCGGTACTTGTACTGACCCCTTCGGGGGGCCCCACCATTTTCAGGTTGAAGCTAGGGCTTGCTACTTGCACCTTCTCACGGGTGGTATCATATCGGGAAGACGTGGTTCGTGCTTTCCTTATTTTCTTTCAAACTACCGAACACTTGCTCATGGATATTTGTTTTACTATAAACACTTTTTGGGCTTGCATGCCCATGTTGTTGGCCGGTTGTGGCTCATGACTTACCGTTGAATATTTCCGCTATTCATTGGTTTAAATGTGATGTTGTTATGTATGTTTACTACTGAGTATGGATGAATTGTTTTCTCGAACGCCTTGTGTAATTAAGTGAGGTTGACTCGTGGGTGACGTCACTTAGTTATACGGCGGTTGTACACGCGCTTGGATTGCGGTCTGGGGCGTGACATTAAATCCGACACCGTCCCCGGCAACGGCGCCAGTGGGTGTTTGGAACTGATTCTGCTTCTTTTTTAAAGTAGAAGCAGAATCAAAATCAGTTTTCAGAAGCTGGTCTCCCCCAGCTTCTAAAAAAAACCGATTCTAAGAGTAAATTAGAGCACCAGAATCACTTCTGCACTTTCACCCAAACACTCCAACTTCTACTTCTGCTCCCTGAAGGAGCAAAAACGCACCGTGTATGTATTTGGTCGTACCGTACATTTAAAAACATACAAGTATATAGTCATATTTTTAGAAAAGTTCAGGGTGTTACTAATATTTTGAGATATATTTTCCTCCAAAATTTATAAGGTAATGCTACATTAACCTATTAATAATTGAAGGTACCGTAACAATACATTTTATTGTTTCATCATTTATCATACGTTTAAGCACCACTACCTATTTAATTCACGCGCATTGGTAACAGTGTTATTAAACCACCAATTAAACATGGTGGTTTATGGTATGTTTGGCATAACTAGCTGAAAAGATACTTTTGTGATCTTTTTAGTAACTGTTAGCTTTTAGTGGCTGAAAATATCTTAAAAAGAAAAGGTGATAGCTGTTTGGTAAAATACCGACTGTTTGATTTAGTTTGGTTTGGTATACAAGCTGTTAGGACTAATTAATACTAAAAGTCACGAGCTTTTATCAGATGCTACACCCGGTAAAATCTCAAAAAAGATCTTTTAATTTTTGAAAAGCTCTTAAAAAATGTCATGTCAAACATACAACTAGAGTCTTTTAACGTCTTTTTAAAGAATAGAGAAGCCAGAAGCTAGAAACTTTTGTGTGCCAAACATAGCCTTAATAATAGTGTTATTAAACCACCAATTAAACATGTCCTTATGAATTAAAAGTCTAAGGTTACTAAATCAGCTATCAAAAGGGGTAATAAAGACTTAAAATCCTTGACTTCCGTTCATATATTAGAAATTAGAAAAGAGTTAATTCTCAAAATGAATTTTAGAAAAAAAAAAAAGAGCAAAGACAGGCAAATATGTCTTCTTGTTGTGAAATGAAGAAGGTGCAGAATATATTTAAGAGATAGATACACTGTTCTAAAAATCGGCCTAGTCGGACCGATTAATCGGCCTAGTCAGACCTCACTTTAGAACACTAATCGGCCTAGTCGGATAAAAAATCGGTCAAGTCGGCTAAAAATCGGCCTAGTCGGCCGCCTAGGCGCCCCTCAACTGCCCGCCTAGCGAGTTTTAGAACAATGGATAGATATATTAATAATATGTTCTAAATTACTTACGGAGTATTTCTTAATATGAAATTTTTTTGAATGAATTTACAAAGCTTTATCAGGGTCCTGTTCATAGTAGTTGAGCTTTAGATGATTAGTCATCTAAAGGATTAATCTACAGATTTGGTAGCAATAACAAATTGAGCCATTTGTTCTAACTATTATAAGAATTATTACAAGGATCATGAAAAGCTTGGTGTCCTAGTGACAAGGACGAACAATTCACACTTGTCAATTCCAGAGTTTTACAACAATTGCAACTTTTTCTACTATATTCATTTTCAGTCAATACAATAAAATAATGTTTTTTACAATCCGATTGCGTTTTGAGGTACAAATAGGAAGTACTCTCTCCGTCCCTTTTATATTGGTACGGAGAAGGGTGTCACGATTATTAAGAAAAGTAGATATGTGTGGTTGATATTAATTGATAAAGTAAGAATAAAGTAAGAATGATTTAGAGACACACAAACTTTACCAAATATGGCATGAGAAATATTAGTGTGACTTCTCAAAAAGGTAAAACGGGACAATATAAAGGGATGTAGGGAGTAATAAATTGGAAACCCAACCCATATTGAAACGTGGCAGTCTTTGTAATTGATTATCATGAAAGCAAAACAAAGGAAAAAAGGATGACACCCCATCCTTGAGGCCCCCACCGACCGAACGATACGACGAGAGGATGTAAATTGGACTATAATCATAATCTGACAGATATAAAGTGAGGTTTTGTCCCCGATACTTGTAGAGGCTCCATGTTGAGTAATCTCTCATTGTAATAGACGGGATTCGAACCCGGAACTTAATCCTTATAGCACCCCTTTCTGTCGGTTGAGCTAAGTAAAAGGATAAAGCACAGTTGGATTATGTTAACGCGTTTACGTTGAAAAAAGAACACTCATCCAACGAACGCGTAAACAATACGGTTTAAACGGGTGACTTCGCTGCATTTTATGCCACAGCTTTCTTTCTGGAAAGGATAGTTCATGATTTCAGACAAGAAGCTGCGCCTATAAACTCTCGCCTCCAGCTGCTTTTTTTTATTCAGTGGAGAAATTCAGAATTTGATCGATCGTTTTTGCTCTCCACACGCAGGAAGTACCAGCCTCTCTCTGCTTATCGTATCTGTATTGTAGAATCTTTGATCTTGCAGACTGTCACTTTTATAAGAATCTAATCCGGCGATCCTGTTTCAGATAGAATAGTGTTTCGTTTTTAATCGTCTTTAAATCACACCAAACATCTAGATTGGCGCCGATCGCGTTACTTAATTTCCTAGCAACAAGTGGAGTTTAGCTTGTGGATTCAATTTTTATTCACTTGCTTCGGTTTTCTGCAAATCTATCAGGGTTTTCCCTGGGCTTGTAGTGCTTTTGTGGCATTTATTTCTTTCCTCAATCCCCAAATTAGGCTCAGTTTATGATGTTTTAATGGATGATAGTTGAAATTTATTCTTCTTCGATGGCACCACGTTAATTATTGACTATAGTCAAAATTAGAAATATTACTAAATTTTCTATTGAACCTCAAAAGGGTGGAAGTAGGAGCTGCCGAATTACTTAGGAAAGGAGGTTTTATAACCATGTTTGATTAACTTTGCGTGTTCGCAGAATTTGAACAGATTCAGTGATTCACTTATATCTGACATTGTGATGAAAGTTATTGAACATCTGATATAATACTTTCATTCTTTTTTCAGGCGCTTCTGAAACACTGAGATAGAGGCTAAGTGGAGTAATAAATGGAGATAAATATGATGGAAAAGGAAGAAATTCATTTGAAAGTTGAGAACAAGATCAGGTCTGATGAGAAGACAGAAAAGACTGAGGTGGAAATTGATGTGAAGAGCAAATCAGTGGAGAAAGAACAAGAGCTTAAGCACCAGGATTGTAAGAAAGAAGAAAAGCATAAGGATTCCAAGCAGGAAAAGAACACAGAGGCGAGTGGAGATGAAGATGATAAGAAGAAGATGAAAAAGGAAAAATCTAAGAAGGAAAAGAGCAAAGAGGAGGGTGAAGATGAAGAAGATAAGAAGAAGATGAAAAAGGACAAATCTAAGAAGGAAAAGAGCAAAGAGGAGGGTGAAGATGAAGAAGATAAGAAGAAGATGAAAAAGGACAGATCTAAGAAGAAAGAAAAGAACAAAGAGGAGAGTCAAGATGAAGATGAAGGAGATAAGGAGAAAAAGGAGAAATGTAAGAAGAAAGATGGAGAGAAGAAACACAAGAAAGAGAAAGACACAGAAAAGGAAATAAAACACGAAGAGGAGGAGGGAGAAGAGAAGGGCGAGGACAAGCATGACAAAGAGGATAAGAAGGGAAAGGTGAAGAAAGACAAAAAAGAGAAGGGAAAGGAAAAGAAAACTAAGGGCAAAGAGGTAGAATCCGAGGAAATATCAAATGAAGAAAACGACGAGGAAACAGAAGATAAAAAAACAAAAAAGGATAAGAAGAAAGAAAAGAAGGAGAAGGAAACTAGAGTGAAATGCAAAAATGAAGGGAAGGATGAAGAAGTGCATGATAAAGAAGAGACTGAGGTGTCTGGGCCTGACGTGGCCACAAGAGAAATACAAATAGATGGGATTGAATCAGAGGGAATATGTAAGTCTGAAAAGAAGGAAAAGGAGTTCGAGGATGAGAAGAAAGATAAGTCTGATAAGAAGAAGAAAACTGAAGGCAAGAGCAAATGCAAAGATCTTGAGACGCTGAAAAAGAAGCTGGAGAAAATCAATGCAAAAATGGAAGGTTTAGAGCTGAAAAGAGCAGAGATCTTGAGACAGATAAAAGAAGTTGAAGATCAGAAGTCTTCTCTTGCTGGGGCTGATGATGGGCAGCATTAGGCGGCATATGTGTTATCTCTTTTATGGACGTTTTTTACTCTATTTCCATGCCATGTGTTTGTTTGTTTTTTTATACATCTATACAACGCACAATCTTTTGATGTACTAGATTGTACACTTGTAATTTAATTGCTTTTCTTATGTCTTGGGAGTGTTTAAGTGAATAAATATGTCATTTATAGTGTTGATGAACCTTCCAAATTCCATTTAGTGTTAGCAAAGATAATAGCTTTCCCTCCTTCCTACGCAAATGGGTTGCGTTTTGTTGACTTGTTGTGGTAAGTGGGGAAAACTGGTGTAAGAATTTTAAGTTAGTATAAGATATGATATACTCGTACTTCGTATTCCGTATTTTTGAAGCTTCAAAATTTTAAAATCCACCACTTTCACCATCTCTACAAAATGTGGGAAAGTAATAGTGCAATACAAATGTAACAAAAGTACCAAATGAAACTGCTTTTATTTTTTATACAAGTATGATCTTTGTTTAGTTTTGCCTTGGAAGATTTGCCTGAGAAAACAATTTGATCAGTCCTTTTCAAAATATCAATTTTAGACATTTTGAACAAAATGTCTAAATAAATGTTGACATTGAAGCAACCACCACCCAGCCACACTTTCGAGCCTATCTAGTTTCTTTCACTGGCACTTGCTAGTTACTACATTGGCCTTTAAAACAGCTTCCTCAAAAGTAATTTTACTTAAAAGTAATTTTAAGATAACTTATAATTGTGTAACTCCACTATGTTAATATCCAAATTTAGAGGAGTAGTTTTTCCTCTTTTCAAGAGTTCCTCTTTGTTTTTATTTCATTATTGCATCTCATGTCAATATTTTTTGTATCTAAATTGTTTTATTTCATTATTGCATCTCATGTCAATATTTTTTGTATCTAAATTGTTTGAACGAGCTTCTATTTATACCTAGTCTAGTATACACTATACTACGGAGTAGTATATACACCATTTACGTTCATATTTCATCAAAATGTTTAATTTTGTATAGTTATTAGAAAATCTAAATTAGGTGCTGTATTTTTTTAAGCAACCAAACACCGCTAAAAAAGAGATAATTTAATAAATAAGTAGATAAAAAATATAGTAAAAATGCATCTCTTTAGAAGAAACAAGAAGTAATTTTTGTCACATCCTAAAAGGAACTATTTAAAAATATTTTGGGAGTAAATCAATTTTTTACTACATGCCTTATAGACGTATAGTGATTGGTCACTCACACATACTATCTATATTTTATTAGGTTTGACCCTTAATAAAAATGTTGAAAAAAATGAAGTTTGAGCCTTTATTGGATAAAAGTGACAGAATATGATATATTTGTGAATTTGATTATGATTCAGATAAAATAAGCTAATAATCCTAAAAAGTAATTACGTTTTTTTCCCAAATATGACCTATGTGATTCAATAAAAGCACATCTTCTTCCAAATATGAGTGAATGATTTCTATTTAAAAATTATATTTAGATATTGTACTACAAAATCTATTAAAAATATTAAAACTAAATTGCTTCAAATAAGAGAAAAATATAGACAAAGCTTATAAATAGAAAGAATTATGTTTCATTCTCGATATGACTTATCTCATTCAATAAAAGCACCTTCTCCTTTCAAATATGAGTGAATGATTCCTATTTTAAAAAGATTCTAACTTGATTTATATTTTATTAGTATTTCATAATGTTTACCAACATTTAAATAATTAAATTAAATTAAATATAATAAAAATGTGAAAATAGAAACGAATTACCGATAATCACAGAGTAAATAATTCTACGGTAACTAGACTAGGGGTGGGGAAAAATACCGAAATTTCGGTATACCGGACTTACCATATCGAAAAATACCGAATTTACCGAAGTGTTTGGTATATCGACACTTTTGGTACGGTATGATACCGTGCCGAATTACTTCGGTATGGTATCGGTATATATTTTGGAAATAAATGGTATACCGTTATACCGTCATACCGTAATTTCAAGCCAATAATTTCTTTAAAATTATAAAAATAACTAGAAACACAACATTAATTCAAGGATAATGACTTTATATCCATGTTTCTTGAATTATTTATACTTTTTGTTGGAGATTGATATTATTTCAAATATATTTATATATGTTGTTTAAATAATTATTTTAGTAGAATGTGTTGTTATCTTCATATATCATGTGTTGAAGTATCTGTATATATTTATAATATTTTTTTGTTCAAAGTTGAATAGAACACAAATAGGTTATCATTGGCATTTTATAATTAATTTCATTAAAAAATTTAGTATATCACTATTAACACTGATTTTTTATATTTCATTTGATATATAATAATTTGATATTAAATCATGATAATTTATCGATACCGTAGCTTACCGTACCGAAATTTTGGTATACCGAAACAAGGTATACCGAAATTTAGGTACGGTAACGGTATGTACTTTTGCATACCGAAAATTTACGGTATGGTAAAGGTATGAGCTAAAATCTTCGGTATACCGTACCGAACCACCCCTAAACTAGACGAATAGAATACTTCGTACTCCACATTGCAATATTTATGAAGGGCTTGGAATAAAAAACCACATGATTAATCATCCTTATCCGCCTGAGATCAGAAATGGCTAGTCTGGCGGCTGAGTCGGATAAAGGCAGCGATTTTTTGAACGGTTTCCGATGTCTGTTACGGCGAAAGCCAGTTGACTCCGCGGCGACTCGTACACGTGACGACGGAGGACATCCGCAATTGGCTCGAAAGCTCTCTGTATTTGATCTGATCGCTATGGGTAAACTCTGCCGAATTGCTTTAGGCTTAAGCTGTTGTTCCTTACCGCTCGATTGATATGATTATCAAGTTGTATATGGCCGACACATTCAATAATTTCCATCTGTTTCGTCTTTGCAGTAACAGTTCTATAAATTTGTTAGAGATGTAGGCGTCACAACCTTTTTGTTTTAACTGATGGTTTGGGCATTGCTGTTGGAAGCATATAATTTGTTAGAATGGTTTCCCTACCAAGACATATTTTTTCGTTGTCAAAGATCTAAAAACAAGGCAAATAATCCTAACAAAAGACTAATAAATAAAAACTATTTGGCTAGACGCATTAATTAAATTAGTAAAGCTAAACATATCATCTTAATTAACTAGTGTTGGTCATATCTTTAGGCAATCTTGGGACGGAGCGAAAAATTACTGCCCGGATAATAATTACTCTCCGCCCGGATGATAATGCTTCAATTTTTTTGGCACAAATGCATGAAAAACATCTTTTTTTAATGTGCTCATTTGGTTAATATTATCACTTAAAATAGCATCTTATTTTGGTTTACTTATTTAAAACCATTTTAAGAAATGAGACAATAGGAATGGGACTTCTCCAAAAGGAAAGTGGTCTATTAGATATGGGAGGGAAGGAACATATTTGAGAAGTAGCTTCTAACTCATGCTAGAAGTTTTTCTGCTGCCTTCTAATCAGTAAGGTTCTCATCTGGACTGCATTTAAATCCCATGCTAGCCATGGTTATTAGTTTACAGGTCATATCATCCCAAATCTAGGTTGCCATTATCAAGATTGCTGCTTTTCTATGATAACTGTGAGAAGAATGGTTTTGCAACCTTTACTGAAATAACTCCCTAAAAAACCTTTACTGAAATAATTATTTTATTATTGAAGCCCGTCATTAATCACATTAAATAAAATACTGAGTTCCAGATTTTGTAACCGGATATGCTGTAAATTGTCATTCTTGCAGTATTGCTTTACTCTGGAGATATGTAGCTTCTTTTTCTGCATCATAAATTCAACAGAAAGGCATTCCTACAACTGAGTTCTTCTCATGTTATTAGAATGATTGTCAAAGTAGTTTTAGAGTATTTGCTGAGCTACAACTTCTGTTGTCATAGTTGTAGATTTTAAAAACTATTCCTCTTAAAAGAGTTATCAGGTACCGTCCAGAGCTTTTTTCAAACTGGTCCTGAGCGTTTAATATGATACTCCTTCCGTCCCTATAAAACTTGGCCAAAGTTTACTTCCACGGACCACGTAGAATAATAAATTAAAAAGTGTGTGGTTGATATTCGTGGAGAGGAGAAGAAATAACTTTAATCGCATTATTTATTACTTTAGATGGAAATGATTAGTTTTTTGGGACGGCTAACTATGGAAAATTTGCAAAGTTTAATGGACGGAGGGAGTAAAATAATTGATGTTCAAGGCTCAAGCAAAACTGATCTTGTTGTCCATGTGCCTCTTCTAATCAGGTGTAGGAGCAACCATTGGGGCTGGAGTTTATATTCTTGTTGGAACCGTGGCTAGAGAGCATACAGGGCCTTCTCTTGCTATTTCTTTCCTCATAGGTGCCGTTGCTGCTGCACTTTCTGCCTTTTGTTATGCAGAGCTTGCATGCCGTTGTCCATCTGCTGGGAGTGCATATCATTTCTCATATGTTTGTATAGGAGAAGGGTAAGTCGGCATCTTATGCTGCTCTGAGCCTGTCTCTATCTCTAAACTTTATGATTATCTCTCAAGGTGTTTTTGTGTTGTTAGGAGATTGAATATCCATGAAAAGCTAAAAAAATGTTGATTTCTCTACGCTTTATCGTATATCCTATAATAAGCTTCAAATCAGTTTATTTTTAACTTTTAAAGAGTTTCTGGTCCTTCAACTATTGTGTCCATGAAGCTTTTGGTACTCGATTTCTAGTTTTCCACTTCTAGTCCTTCGAAAATTGAGAGAGATAGTCTGTTGGTCCTTGACTATGAACTTTTGCACATTTAGTCCTCCTACTATTGTGAAAGTGACACTTTCGGTCCTTCAACTATTATCATAGTCACATTTTTAGTCATTCACTTATTGTGGCAATATCATAGTGGGAGGACTAAAAGTGTCACTTTTATAAGGGTCTGTTTGCAACAGCTTCTGCTTTTAAAAAAGTGCTTTTTTTAATGAAATGGGGAGAAGTGATTAAATAAAAGTTGATAGTGTTTGAGAAAAAAGTGATTTTGAAAAGTAAAAGTGGGTAGTGTTTGGTAAAATAAGTGTTTTTTGTGTAATAGAAAAAGTAAAAGCACTTTTGACGCGGAAGCCGAGAAAAATAAAAGTTGTAGTGTTTGGGAAAATAAGTGCTTTTTTAAAGCCAAAAGTTGAGAAGTGCTTTTTTAAAAGGAGTTGCAAACC